CCATCTTCCAAGGGAAGTGGTGCTGGCTCCTACCCTGGGGGGCTTTAAGAAGCGGCTTGATGCCTGCCTGGCCAGGGTCACTTGAGCCCAGTTTCCCTCCTGCCCAGGCAGGGGTCGGACCTGAAGATCTACAAGGTCCCTTCCGACCCGACTTCTATGAGTCTATGATCTATGACTTTGTGGCTGCCTATAAATTCATCGTGGGGGTGCAGAGGGGAATTGGTGAGTATTTATTCACCAAGGCACCCCTGGGGGTCACAAGAAATAATGGCCATAAGCTAGCAGAGAGCAGATTTAGATTGGACATTAGGAAGAACTTCTTCACAGTTCGAGTGGCCAAGGTCTGGAACGGGCTCTCAAGGGAGGTGGTGCTCTCCCCTACCCTGGGGGTCTTCAAGAGGAGGTTGGATAAGCATCTAGCTGGGGTCTTCTGAACCCAGCACTCTTTTCTGCCTATGCAGGGGGTCGGACTCAATGATCTATCGAGGTCCCTTCCGACTCTAACATCTATGAATCTATGAAACTGAGACTCACAAAAAGATCGCAGTTCCACCTCGTGCTCTTTACGTGAAATACACTGCATGCTCCTTAAAAAGAAACCTGGCTCCTGACTCTTGGGGAGAGTGGTTCTGATGGGTTAGATCTCCCTGCGGTGATGATTCCTAGGGAGTTTTTATTGCATGCTTCCAGCTCCTACCAACACTGCTTTCTCGCATTTGCCTATGTCAGATCACCCTGTTCTGATAACAAAGTTTTGCTTCAAGAGGTACAGATTCAGTAGCTTGGTGCTTCTGCTGCTCTAGACCACAGCCGTAGGACTGAAAGGGGCCTTCTGGGTCATCAAGTTCAGAGTGCTGCTTTTGCAGGCAGCTACCTCCTATGATCCCCTCGATGAACTGATCACGATCTAAGTCATGCTTGTTGCAATGGACCCGTGCTCCAGCAGTGATGTGCTGTTTTTGAGTTCTGGTTCCTTCTCCTAACCACTTTACTGTGCAGTAGAGCAAAATACTATATACTAAGCATTATTGTCTACACTTGCAGACCCTTACTCTGCAGTAGTTTGCTCTACTTGGCAGTTAATTTGCTACCTAGAAATGCAAGTAGCAAATTAACAGCTGAGTAATTAGATGGCTGACCAGCAAATTGGCTCCTAGTCATCCAGGCAGCAGGGGGTGGGAGATTGCTCCCTGCCCCCAGGAGCTGCCTGCTGCTGTGGCAGGCTCTGCCTCTGGAGCCTGGGTGTGGACAATGTCCCCCTGTCCCAGAAGCAGGGAGCTCCCTGCTGCCAGGGCAGGGGGACATTGTCCCCACCAAGGTTTTGCCATTGGAGCCCAACCTGGCAGTAGGCAGCTCCCGGAGGCAAGGATCAATCTCCCAGGCCCCTCCTGGCCCTGTGCTCCCTGCCAACCCCTGGGCTAGCATCCAGGGGGAGCCACATTGGGATCAAATTGCACCAGACAAGAGCAGCCCATTCCAGGGATGCTCCTGCCCTGTTCTGCCTCCTTTCAGCAGCCACAGGGAGCTCCGGGACAGGCCCTGATCTCCACTTTGCTCATGGTCAATGTCTACGTATGCACTTC